AGGGAAAGATTTACTTGAAAGGTTTCAGAGGTAAGTGTACAGACACAGGACTGTTAGAAAGGAACAAGACACTGCAGTTTAAAATAGTATTTTCCCTGTATTTTTACATCTGTGAAGAGTGCTAAAAATAATAATTTTTAATTTTTTTATACATTCTGTTTTATTACCTTTGGCTGGATTTTTTGTTGTTGTTTCAGAGCTCTGATTTAATTTTCAAAAGTGACCCTTGTAACACTCAGGAATCTGAACAGCCAAGTAAAATTGAGATGCAATAGTCCATCCACAACACACTCTATAATTTGAAAAAAGCGTCAATGTGGCACTATATCTACCAAGTGTGCATGCATTCTATCATGTGACAAATATTATAAAAATATCTCAAAAAAGAGTATTTGCAGACAGTTTTGAAAGCTGGCTGTCTTGTAAGAGTAAGGGTGCACATTGCAGTGCAGCTTAGCCAAGTTAACAACGAGGCATCACAGATGGGGCAGCCCCAAACCCTTTCCCCCAGCCACCTGCCACCATCACCTCTTTTGTGCACACACAATTTTCTATCTTTGTAGACAGGCAGCTCAGTAAGCTAAAACATGGAAAAAGTCACTTTCAGAAACGGCAGTCTTCCATCAGTTTAGCTCCTCAAAATGCCTCAGTTGTATTCATGCCACTTTAAAGACCATAATGGAAATGCAGAAGTAGGAATGGAAGAGAAGGACTTCCAGACTCAACAAACACTCACAGCATTGCAGTGCTGCAAAGCTGCATCCTCTGCCTCACAAACTGGTGCCTTCTGCACCGTGGCTGAAGCTATTCTTCTAAGGCATGATTATGGAGCTGCATATACAGGTAGTGTCAGAATACAAGTCACAAGCAGGATGGGGGGAGCCTCTCTTGGCTAATGTGAAAAACTCCCTCTCCAAGTAATGGTTAAATCCTTGCTTTGGTAATTCTGTGGATATGCGTGACATTATGAAATAGTTTTCAATAATGTCTCAGAAAAGAGAGAAATATTATAGAGGTTTCTTAGTTCCCTCAAGCTCCTCCAGTAAATTTTCAGCAGGTACACAAACTAAAGTCAATGTGCAGTTCTCCAACACACGCTGTAAACTAATGATAAGTGGAGTCAAAAGGATGAAAGATAGGCTCTTTGAGGTCCTTGCATGATTTAATACAGTGACTTTTGTTCTAAAAAGCACAAACTTAGAATCAGATACATGACTCGGTGCTCTGCTGAATGGACTCTGTGTTGCATGAAGGGAGAGTGCCATGAAAGGGGATCAGCCATGGTAAGTTCACTTTCACTATAAGAGGGAAATCCTTCACGGTTCCCCTTTCCTCTCTACAATCACCTAGGTTCCTCTGGAGCTCAGCTGACTCCCCCCCATGAGGCAATTATACCCATTAAGCCAGGAGAAAACAGTGGAGAGTTTTCTGCTGGATGGACAGTTAAATTGTCTCATAAAAAAGGTGTGGAGATAGGCAGAGCTGGCACAACATAAGGGCCAGGGATACATGGCCAATAAAATGTAGATGGAAGGGAAGGAGAAGGTAAAGAGAAGTGATATTTGGTGAGGAAATCTCAGAGCAGTGACATGCCTGGCAGTCACGTCCTATGGCTTGTCTGTTTGCACTTGCAGTGAGGCCAAGCAACCCACACCAGCTCAGACAAAACCACTTGGAACTCCTCTTATAAGAGCCCTGACATCCCCTGCCGCAAGAGAAGGAACTGATCTGTGCCTTACCTGAGATCATGTCTCCAAGAATAACTGTGGACAATAACTGTTAGATACAGAGAGATTTGAGTTTTGTGCTACTGCTGCTACTGGCTAGATAAGGTACAAGGTAGACACAGGTACTCCTCTTCCAGTGTGAGTGAAGCTGGGAGCATGTTTATGGCCCATATGCTTGCCCTAATTTAGTTTCTTCCCCTCCTCCCTCACTGGAAAAGCTGGCACTGAAGTCAAACATTTCCCTTGCTTAAAATGCCAATGTCACTGCATCTTTCTGAACATGATCTCTAAAGTCTCTGGCCTGGAAAATAAGGGCTGAGCTGTTGCAGAAGACAATTTTCAGTTAAGTGGCCACTAATTATAATAGAAATAATTATATGATTTGGAAGAGACCAGTAATGATTTTTTATTTTTTTTAATTTCCAGCAACAGAGATGAAAGTAATTTGGGGTTGATTTAAAGGTTTTGCAGAGATAGCTTGCGTATAGGTCAGTCCTTGCATGCACGTAAAAAATACATTAGAGGAACATATTTTGCTTTTGTTCCCAGCAATCTCCTGTTCTCACATAGACGACATCAAAACTGGCTGTTGCTGTCCTCTTTCCTCTTAAAAGTGCACTTTTTAGCATAAAACTGTGAATATGCAGTTGATCTATTGGATCAGTAAATGCCAACCATGCCTCTGATGCTCAATTTTCTCTGATGCTGGTTCTCCTGGTTCATTAAAAAATTAAATATCTGGTGAAATATGGTATTTTCCTTTTCAAAGCTGAGATCGATTACTTAAACCCTCAGTTGCTGTAAAACTACAGAGTGGCTGCTGATTTACAGCACTGGGATTCTGGCTAGCTGCTTCTTTTCACTGCATAATTTCTCAATGAAGAAAGAAGTTTACCTGGTCGAATTGCTGAGACTGGTAATATCCGATGACCAATAAATTTCCCTCCTTCTTCATACACTGCTAACCTCAAACATGCCAGGGAAGGTAAAACGACCTAGAAGGCAATATTGTTGTATTATTATCTTTCTGCTCTGAATGAAATGGCTCCTTCCAGACAAAGGCTATAGCAGACAGAAAGAGAAAGTCCAGTCTAGCAGATAGGAACATCTTTAATAACATCTAAATACACATCCATGAATGGTTTGTTTTGGAAGGGCCCTTAAAGATAATTTAGTTCCAACCTCCCTGCATGGGCAGGGACATCTTCCACTAGACCAGGCTGTTCCAAGGCCCATCCAACCCACCCTTGAACACTTCCAGAGAGCTCTGCAACTTCCCTGGGCAACCTATTCCAGTGTCTCACCATCCTCACAGTATGTACCTGGGCTTTGACAGATCAACTCCTATCACATTTGAATGCCACTATGTTTTCTGCTTATTAGTCACAGCTGTACATGTTTGGTTTTATTCCTTTGTGTTTGTGCCAATGGGATTACCTGCTTCTGAGAAAGGTCACCGATAGGCATTTTAGTGTTGAAAACCCAACAAGCCACTCAACCTGTTTTGCAGAGTGTGAATGTATGAACTACATGAACCATGTCAACCTCAGTAAAATTTCCCAGTGCTGCAGCACACTCAGTGACTGGACTAAAGACATTTAATCAGGCAGGATGTTTACAAGCATTGGATGCTTTCTTGGCATTACGTAGGAAAGAAGGCCAAACAGTGAAAAAAAGAAAACAAGAAATAATAATAATAAAATATTTGGACTACCCTACTAAGATAGGAATCTTTAATGTTACTTAAAAAAATGTGTAGCATAATTTATCTCATTTTCTTACTTAATACATACATATACAAATACATATATTTTTTACCTGGGCACAGATATAGATTTTTTCATAACATATGCTAGAAGTTATCTAGACAATGGAAAAAAAAATAATGTAACAATCCAAAATGAAGAGTCTCTCTAATTTATTTTTAAGATTACTAAAAATAGTAATCTATGTTTCTCTGAGCACAGAAGCAGTCAGGCTTGATCATTAACTAAATAGAGAAATGAAGTACACTAATTAGAAGTTCATTAGAGAAGAAAAATGCTAGTGATGTTTCCAAACTTAAGCTCTGGCAAGCTGCCAAAGGAAGGTTATTCAGAAGGCCAAATATTCAGGGAAAAGGTCTGTACTCCCTAGAAAGAAGGGCTGCAAGTACCAGTTTTAGAAACATCTCTGTGAACTACATTTGCCTAGATAAATACAAAATTAGTTTCTTTACAAACACCTGGAGTCAGGACTCACTTAACCCCAATGCTCACTCAGAAAACACAAGAATATTGTGAGATACAGTAAGACATTGATTTTGCACAATCCAAAAACATGCTCAGTGTTTTCTGCTCCCTCCAAGTTGAGTCTGAGTAAATTGCAAGAGTAACTGAGGAGCATACATCTCATTTCAAGTGGATGGGATTTACGTGGTTTTCATCACCTAGGTTGTATTTATACAGCACAATCTGGTGCTAAGCAGAGATCTCAGACTGCTTTGAACATGTTGGCTTGGACAGCCAGATTGTTAAAGCTGTAGTAACTTTGTCTTGCTTGAAGGTGAACAGGATCTGCTCTTCAGCAGGGCTGTTCAGCCAGGGCAAAATGGCAAGGCAGCTAAACTGCTTCTGGGATCTGTGCTTGCTCATTCATAGCACATGGCACTGCACGTGTCCATTGACACATCTGCTGCTGGCAGCTGTGTCAGTGAAAGTATTGAGGTGCCTTTAAACTAATTTATTTTAGTAGGAACTGGCATGACTACAGTTGCAAAATTACACCAGAAGTGGTTAACAGTAAACAGCTCAAGAAACAGCTATTTGGAATCTCTTTCTTTTCTTTCTAACAAATGTAAAGTGTCACTAATCCACAGAATTACCCTACTGGACAGTGATAAAACAAGCACAATGCCCATCTGGGAAGCAAGTGTTACACTGACCTTCTTAAACACGATGGTCTCCTCTTCCCAGACAGGATTAACTGCATTGCCTTGAGAGGTCTTGGTCTTCAAAGCTTTTCTTCTTGTATCCACAGGCAGGCCAAACATGTCAACCTCTACATAGGTACCAACTTTTTTATCAGAAAGAAACTGACCTGAAATTATCTAAAATCAAAACAGAGGAAGATCACTAGTGTCTGCTTTGGTGGATTGGGAATGAGTGGCTGAAATACAGATGGATAATTCTCATTAATGATCTGACAGTATGTATTTAAAATAAAACCAAAACAAAATGAAAACCATGATAAACAACAACAAAAAAATCCTCACTGTTTAATATTGCAGACACAGAAAAACAACAACTTATGAGGCCTGATTTCCTATGACCCTGTGGTCCTGAATTCCCCTATGAGTGATAACATGGTTGAGATCGTACTGTTGCCCTTCCTTC